CCCAGCAGACACCGCCGGATTCATGACCGCCCCCAGAGAGGCCCCTGTCACCAACGTCGCACATATCGCCACGCCCGCATAGGCATTGGGTTGCTGTGCTCGGGCAAAAGCGGTGTGGATCACCACCATGACCAAGGCGTATGTAAAGCTGATCTCGACCAGGGCTAGCTCCCCGGTAACTCCCTCCGGCAAGAATGGATCTGCTAGTTGATCAGAGGCAGCCAGACCTCGGGCCAGGTAGGCCCCCCCAATGGCCCCGACGGTTTGGCTGGCTATGTAAACCAGGGCCCGGAAAGGGGAGACTCGTCCGATGAGAAGCAATGCGAAGGTCACCGCCGGGTTGTAATGCGCGCCCGATATCGGAGCGCCTGTGTTGATCATGGCCAATAAGACGGCGGCGACTCCAATGGCGGCCGTAAGGCTGTCTACGCCTGCGGCGGGACGGGAGAGCAGACCAACTACCAGCGTAAGGGTGAGGGTACCAAGAGCTTCCGTCATGGGAACAGCTAGAAGATTTTGCAGGATCGTAAATGTTTGAGAGCAGCATTGCGCACCCGCTGTGAGGTATCGGCGATGCTTGCGATGCCCCTCTGAGACCTTCTTGTCACCGTGCTCTTCTGATAAATGACTTTTATTTCTTTCAGCGTTGCTATGACCAGCCGACGCAGTTTCCTCTTCTGACATGGCCTGCGACTCTATGACATTGTCTTTAACCTTGTTATCCTGGGCAGGCATCAATGGCTGCTTCGACTCGTCCTCTACTTGGTGAGGTGCTGAGGATGTACGCGGCATAATGATATCCACAACACCCCCGGAAGCCGGATCCCTGACCAAGGAAAGCATAAGAAAGATATTGTACCAGGGAGGTCACAGTAAGGTTTGAGCGTGAAGACTGCACAGCTATGCATTGAAAACTATGCCACTTTTATAAAGTACCATTCGCAGGGCATGTGATACCTACAAGAACAGGGAGGGTAGGCTGCATGAGCGAGATCGCCGCTCAGACTGGATTGTGTCGTGCTTCGGGTTGTACGTGCTTCCCGGTCAGAATTCAAATTTGGTTCAAATTCTAACGGAAAGCGCATCTAATCTGTCCATGTCCAATTCATCGACGCTCGCTCTGAGCTCGTTTCTTTTCGATGTGCTTCTTCAGTACCATTTCTTTGTGTTTTTCATTTTATCTTTTAGGCCTCAATGTGCAGCAGGACCGCTTCCCAAGACTAACACAACTTCCGTTTTTTTTCTTTCGCTAACAATAAGTGTCCCATCCAGTGAGAAGCGGCTTCCATGCGATATTCTCGCAGACTGCTGATTGGAATTGTCAACCTTAAAGTACAGGAAGAGAATGGGAGATTTTCATGTTTGCGACTGGCTCGAGTCCGTCGGTAAGTGCTCTATACTTTTCTTGGCTTATGATTACTTTGCGTGTCTGACCGTCACCCTCTTTCCACGATAATTCAGGCCTTGGGTACTCGATTCCTAGATTTCAAGAGCTAGGTATATGTACCCCTGAGAGATTGGCTGCGTTTCCCTTTTCTGACTATGATCGAGCTGGCGTCGTGGATATCAACCATCGAAGAAAGCTTTTTTTCCTGATCCAGCGCCTCAACCTGGCTCTTGAGGAACAGACGAGAAAGATTGCGAGAGGGGGTAAGATTTACGCCGTATGCGCGCACATTATTTTTCGAAACCATGCGCACTTTGACGTGTGCTCCCCGATTCTCAGCATGATTGTTTTATTTCCCATTTCGCATGTCAACACGCTCGCATACAGTTCCTACAACAAAGCGCGATGAAGACGAAGCCTTATCTGCGTCTCAGTATGCACAAGTAATGAATGTGGATCTATCATCTTTTCATCTTAATTGTGAAGTAAATGGACAGACATTGCCGGACAGATTGGATAAGGACGGACACGGAAGCGAACATGAAAGCCTCCTAATCACGAAAAGAGAAGACGGTAGCTCCTCTAAAGCCTCGCGTCGGACGCCATCTGCACAGTCGTTGCCCGTATCTAGCGAGCTAGCAGCGCTCTCCACCCATTCTATCGAAAAATGTGGACCTGAGGCAGTGACGCCATTCGAAACAGCACACCTTTCCTCCCGAATTCCCTCCGCTCCGCCCTCCTCCCAGTCCTCCGCCCCAACCTCCACGTCCACTTCCTCTCCTCCTGTCGGCCCGAATGCCAGCTTGCACTCGAAATTCAGCCTTTCTAGAAACTTCCTTTCCGCCATAGGTGTCCGTAAGAGCAAGACCGGGCCAGTCACGGCAATCGCAGCCTCCCCGTCTCAGGCTTCTATCTCTGCGGTGTACGCACGCACAGAAATGGAACCGTCTCCCATGAGAGAGCCGCAGAGGCAGAGCCTAAATGCCAGCGCTGACCTCAGCTACAGCGGATCAAGTCTTACCAGCACCAATTCGAGCATCTCGCATGTCCGACGGAACTCCTCGCCCCTGCACCCGTACCAAGCCCTGGTGGACTGTATCCTGGCGGGGCCCGTGGACGAGACGACGATCCGGGTGGCTGTGCGGAAGCGTCCGTTGAGCGCCGCAGAACGGGGCAATAAGGACACAGACATCATCGAGATCCAACCTCCTCGCAACGTGGTCATACACGAGCCGAAGAAGCAGCTGGATTTGACGCCGGTGACGGAATCCCACTACTTTGCCTTTGACCACACCTTCGGCGCAGAGGTTCCTAATGACTGCGTGTATCACACGGTTTGCCTGCCTTTGGTCGTGTCCATGTTTCGTGGAGGGAAGTCCACCTGTTTTGCCTACGGACAAACGGGGTCAGGAAAGACGTTTGCGATGATGGGGGACCAAGGCAGAGAGCGGGCGGGAGGGGGAAAGGGACGGAAGGGCCAACCCACAGGGGAGGGCTGGGAGAACGCAGGACTCTACGCACTGGCCGCCCGGGATATCTTTCAGGTCTTGGCCCACCCGGCCTTTGCCTCGCGTGGGTGGACGCTGCATGTGAGTTTCTTCGAGATTTATGGCGGGAAGCTCTTCGATTTGTTGAACCGGCGGGCGCCTGTCCGATGTTTGGAGGACGCGAGGCAGCATGTTCAATTCCTGGGACTGACGGAAAAAGCGATGGTAAGCGTGGAGGATCTTTTGACCACCATCGCGGAGGGACAGAGCCAAAGGTCGACGGGCTCCACGGCCGCGAATGCCGATTCTTCGCGCTCCCACGCAGTTTTGCAACTCAGCCTGAAAGGTCATGCCTGTGCAGAAAGATCAGCGGGCAGGTCCCCGGCGACGTCCGGCTCCGAAGCGAAGAGCATGCTGCAGCACGGCAAACGGAACGTGCGTGTGAAGGACAGCAACCAGGGGAGGCTAAAAGAGCCCGTCATTGGCAGCTTCTCGTTCATCGATTTGGCAGGTTCGGAACGCGGCGCTGACACGCGCAATACCGAGAAAGCGACCCGGATGGAGGGGGCGGAGATCAATACCTCGCTCTTGGCGCTGAAAGAAGTGATTCGAGCGCTGGACCGTAAACAAAACCACACGCCCTTCCGGGGTAGCAAGCTCACACAAGTCTTGAAAGATTCCCTTGTTGGTGCCAGGGCAAAGACCGCGATGCTTGCTTGCATTGCCCCCGCCCTCTCCAGTTGCGAGCACACGCTCAACACCTTGCGCTATGCGGATAGGGTCAAGGAGAACGACGCCTCCGCCGTGCCCGGTCCGGAGAACCTCCTCGCTCCCATTGCCACGCCCGTGACCTGGGATAAAGATAGCCGGGACACCCCAGCCGGGGGGGAGCATAAGCCCTCTTCAAGCGGGAGGTCGATGCTCACATCCTCCCTCAGCGATGAAGAGGAGCGCATCCTCGCCGTTTCCGCCGAGACGGGAGGCCAGGGTATGAGGAGCGGGAGGAACAGAGAAAACGCGAACTTAAGCGCGACAGTGAATGGCACAGGCAACTGTCGCTGGTCAGCTGTCTCTGTTTCAAGCCTTGGGAAAGGCCAGCAGCTTGCGTTCTTGTCGCGCACGACCCCGGGAAGGCACTCAGAAAGGTCGTGCAGAGGACGAGAGGGAGGGGGAGAGCGTCGTCATCTCCATGGGACTCGCACCTTGCCAGAGTCCTCTTTGCCAGAGCTGCCGCAGATACCAAACCAACAAGGGACGGAAACGGCGCTTCGTGGCCAACAGCCTCCGCTTTGTCCCTCTCCCGCGGTCGAGGCGGGGGACATGCAACGGTACGTAGAGCACTTGAAGCAGCTGCGGGAGACCGTGTGCGTGGAGCGTGAGGCGCAACGGTGGCGACGACGGCAGCGACGGCGTCAGAAAGGGACGGAACGGGGCGCCGAAACCATCCCAGCGGAAGAGGAAGAGGACAATGGCCAGGAAGAAGGAGTCGCGCGGAGGCAAGCGGAAAAGGAGGAAAAGGCTGAGAAAGCAGCAGTGTATCGCACGGCCACGCACGTGCTGATCGGGGCCCACCAGAGTGCCCATGTCCAGCTATTGTCCCTCCTGCGCGAGGAGGTCGACCTCCTGCAGACTGCAGAGGGGGACCGACAAGACCTGATCCTGTACTTGGCTTCCACGGAGAAGATTCTAGAAGCTCAGAAGGCACAGGCGGAAAGTCTAATGGCCCACGTGCAGCGGGTTAAAGCCGCCCGGTCGGAGCTTCTGGAGGGCTAGAAGGGAAAAGGAGGGGGCTGGAGCTGGGACGTGGACATTGGGGAAAGCGTGCTTGGAATGGAGAGGGAAGGGTGAAGGAAAGAAAGGGTTGTTTCCTGGATTGTGACTACTACTGAGCTGGTAAAACCAGGAGAGTCAAATCGCCGGCTATGGGCTTGAAGGAATTGTCTATCCGTTATCTAGTTTGATAAGGGATGAGTGACAGCATCTATGTTTCAGCCGAGCTGCCCATCCAAGCTTTACTTTTAGGCGGGCATTACAATTTATCTTCTTTCGGTGTCACAGCCATCCCAACACGTACACACCGCATCAAGTACCGCACAAACTTTTCTCTCATCTCGCACGGCGCATTCCCCCGCAATCTCGGGCTCAATGCTTGTGATATATACAAGAATATATGCATAGATATATATGCACTTCTTCTTACGTAAAACCTCCTTTCCAGGGTTGCCGCCTCCGCACCCCGTTCCCTCGATCCCTCCCTCCG